GCTCGCCATAAATGCAGATTCTATCAGCCAATCACGTGATTCGTGATTCTGTGAGATAGCAATACGCATGCTCCAATCAGTGCGATACATGTCCTCGAAGAATAAGGACACATTTTATCAGTCTAAATATACGAATTATTTTAAAGACATAATTGTCTTTTACTTGTCTCTACATAGTGATTAATATCACTGGCGCATCAATTTCGATAATTCGAAATGAATAAACTAGAAGTTTTATTCTACTACTACTAAGTAGACAGTACCATTACTTATAAAATATAACCACATGACAATACAAGCATGAAAGATGATTCTCTCGGGAAATCTCCTACAGTCGCTACTAAAAAGTCAAAGAGTTCGAAGAAATCGTCTGCTGTAGAAAAGTCAAAGGCGAAAGATAATATCTTAGTATTATTACATCTGGCAACACCGCCAACTCTGCCTCCGCGGCCGCGCCCCCATAAATCTGGTCTGCCCTCTGTTTGCCCCCCCCCCCCAATAATTTTGGAAAATAAAGAAAAAGTATTTGTGATACGTTTTGGCAATCAATACCGTCTACAGTGATTAAATGCCACTTCCCCACTCAGTCATGGACTTGCATGTTGTAGAGCCTGAGTGATTTCTTACAAAGCCCATCCTGCTGTAAACCTACTATAAACAATAACACGTGAATCACTTGGGAAGTGCTTTTTACGATCTTCAGAGTTTTTGGGTATAGGTCAACGCGGCGAGAATATGCATTCAATTGATACACTCACTCCGTTCGTTTTACACCACCCTCTCTATTCGGATAAGCTGGTGATTTGGCGACGAACAGTATCTGGTAAGCTTTATTTACCTCGACGACCAATGCCTGAAATACTACCAGACTGCATTTCCGACAAGTCTGTTCATTTGACACTTTCCTCTCTGGGGTCGGATAGACTAGCGATCAGGCGACAGACTGCATCTAATCAGTTCTATTTATCTCTACAATCGGTGAACTAATACTGTCAGACAGCATTTCCGACAGTCTATTTTTCAAAATTTTCTTGGGGAGGTCCCCAATACCCCCACAAGGACTTGCTACTTTGGCGCTCACAAGGGGACTTGTTGGGGTTCGCAAGTCCGTTCGTTTGACATTTTGTTCTCTGGTCGGATAAACTAGTGATCAGGTGACGGACGGTATCTGGTCGGATCTATTTATCAGGACGATCGGTGCCTGACTGAATACTGTCAGACAGCATTTCCGACAGTCTATTTTTCAAAATTTTCTGAGGAAGGTCTCCCATTTGGCGGTAGTGATTGGGCTTTGTCGAGGTTCGTAAGTACGTTAGTTTGACACTTTACCTTAACGATCAGTGCCTGAAATACTGCCAGGCTGCATTTCCGGCAGCCTGTTTTTCAAAATTGGCTGGAGGAGACCTCCCTTACCCCTAGTTGAAGCTCCTGCCTTTGCACCCTTAACCTTGGACTTTGCCCCAGCTTTGCCCCTCCAACCACGGATGATTTTTATATTGCCGTCCAAACTTTACTAGAATTGAAGAAACTTTGTTCATCAATGAGTGAAATAAAGTCTTCGGTAGAAAATTCTTTCGCTCGCCTTGAAGAATACGCAGGGACAAGTCATCTTAGCCCTCAGTACGACTACGAGTCGGACGATTAGGACTATATAGAACCACCACAATTCAAGGTCAAGGTTACCGAGAACAAAACCGGAAGTGAGGACCCGGCATCAAAACTTATTGATAATTTACTGTCAAAAGACGATGCTTTATCATCTTTAAAATCGAGCATTACAAGAGATGACCTAATCGGAACCAAAGTAGGTGACAATTTAGCAGTTATCGTCACGACAGCTTTCACTTACTCGAACAAACAGGATTCCGACGTAATGGTGGAAAAATTGAAAAAATAGAGAGACCGGAAAACTGTCCAGCCCTACAAGCGCAAGAAATTTCCAAATTAATGTGGGATTCAGTCGGAGATGAGTGTAGATCTAACGACTGCAAGTTTCAAAAAGTTCAGAAAGCTGTAGTAAAATCTTTAACCGCTGTAACTCAATTTTTAGATTTTATTCTAAAATCTAAAAAAGATCTTCCTAAAGACTTGGCTAAACAATTAACAGAGAAATTAGGGGACTCCATTGCTATAAAAGCTCACGCCTTTAGAGAGATTATTATGAGAAGAAAATCTCTGATAAAACCATATGTAACATAATCAGGTCATCTAAAGTAGGTGAGTCCAACAATCATAATAAAAAGGGTTATGCAGGTTTATTGAGATACTATATTCCAGAATGGAAGAAAATAACAAACTAGAGGGTCTGGAAATTGATTTTACTGATGAAACGGTTCAATTTGATGAACCTAGAGTAATTCCATTTAATGATTTTGAATCCGAATTATTAACAAAGATATTAAAAATCTTTCAAATAGGGGAGCAGTGCAACTGACCTCACCCTCATAGAATTACATGTATTACCGATCTCGAATATCTAGGTTTTTACTATAAATTATGAAAAGTCATGTCTTACTCCAACTACGGAGATTAAATATTTAGGATTTATTATCAATTCTGAACTTATGACGATACGATTGCCACAAGAAAAAGCAGTAGACATAGTAAATTTTGGGAAGAAAATTCTAAACAATAAGGCACCATCTATTAGAGATGACGCGAAATTAATTCAACTTTACAATTTGGCAATGTCAGCTGTCAAATATGGACAGACACATTTTAGACATCTTGAACTTAACAAACTAAGTTACCTTAGGCCCAATAACTGGAATTTTGATTCCAAAATGAAAGTTAATAAACAATCTAAAAATGAGATCATATGGTGAAACAAAAATCTTCTCAGTTCTGAGAAACCTATTATTATGCCTGAACACTACTTCATAATCCAAACAGATTCGAGTGGTCTAAGTTGGGGTGCAATTTGTTCTAGGGTATCTGTTTGCGGAAATTGGTCTATGGAGGAAAGACAATTACATATTAATATACTAGAAACTAAGGCCATTATGAATTTCATAACACCAGTATTCATATACAGTGCGACAATTCGACTGCTGTTAGCTACATCCAAAATATGGGGGAACCAAATGTGTACAGTGCAATTAATTGGCACAGGAGATCTGGTCATGGTGTGAGAGCAGAAATCTCTGGCATTCAATTTCACATATTGCTGGAAAACACAACAACTTGGCTGATGCAGCGTCAAGAGGTGACTATTCTGAAACGACAGAATGGGCATTAGACGAAAAAGTTTTTCAAAACATTTTAGATTACTGCAACCTCACTCCTACTATAGACTTGTTTGCAAGCAGACTAAAACATACTAGACCGTTACGCCTCCTGGCATGTTGACCCTCATAGTCATACAACAATTATCAATGTCTTTTCATTTGATTGGAAGCAAGAAATCATATTTTGTTTCCCTCCATTCTGTCTACTATCCCGGTGTATTCAGAAAATCATAAAAGATCAATGTAAAGGCATAATCATTACTCCTATGTGGCCAACACAGCCTTGGTTTTTACAGGTTATCAACATTATATGTTTCATACTAGTTATGTTACCACAGAGGAAGAATCTCCTCAAGATAATGGACAAATCACATTCAGTGTGGAACAGACTACACCTGACAGCTTTCGTGTTGTCCGGAAATTATTCAGAGAGAGAGAGGAATTTCTCAGCAGACAGCTGAAATTATCATCTCCTCATGGAAGTCTTCAACAAGAAAGCAATACTCATTTATTTTCTGAAAATGGACACTGTTTTTTGGTGAAAGACAGACAAGGTTTTCCAACCCATCTATATCCGAAATTTTAGATTTTCTTGTGAACATTTATAACCAAGGATCCGGTTATAGCCTTCTTAATACGGCACGAAGTGCGTTGTCGACAGGGGGGTTGGATGGCTGAATGGTTGGCACGTGCGCGCTGTATCATAACGTCTGTCATTGAGTCAACTGGCGTGGTTTCGATTCCCCGGTTGTACGTGACAAGGAGTAGGGTCGCCTGTCCAACCTGGTAGGTTTTCTCCGGGTCCTCTGGTTTCCTCCCAGTGCTAAAGACCCCTACGCACATGTGAATTATTGAAATAAAATTGAACCATGTTAGTCCCGAAATGACCTAGTTTGTGTCGAGTGGGCGTTAAACCCCATTTCTCTCTCTCTCTCTCTGTCCCTCTCTCTCTCTCGTGTTGTCGACATTTATTTTTATTGATTGACATTCAGTAGAAACACACCCACTGATCTGCAAATTTATGAAAGGAATTCATTACAGCAGACCAGCCTTGCCTCGTTATGATAAACCTTGGGATATTCGATTAGCTTTAAATTTGTTGCAAAAATTGTCACCAGTGAAAGAATTGTCACTGAAAGATTTAACAATCAAACTTGTGTTAATTATGCTAATTATATCAGCCCAAAGAGGTCAAACTTTGAAATTATTTGACATTGACTTTATGGAAGTAAATAAGACTAAAGGCATTTATAAATTTCACATTGGTGAACATTTGAAACAATCTCAACCAGGTAGAAAGCCTCTTACAGTGACAGTGTAGGCACCCGATAGGCTATTATGTGTAGTGACAGTATTAAAAGAATATTTAGAACGTATTCATTCCTTACGTAGTGGTGAAACAAAGTTGTTTATTGGACACAATATCGAGATGGGCACAAATTGGTCTAATTAAAGCTGGGGTAGACATCAAAAAATTTAAGCCTCATAGTGTAAGAGCTGCATCAACATCGTCGGCTGGGCAATTAAATGTTCCCACTTCCGAAATACTTAAAAAAAAAGCAGACTAGAAATCGGAGAAAACGTTTGAAAAATATTATAATATAACAAATCGTTGACAGTGAATGTTATGATACTGAACTTTTGAAGTTATAACTTTAAATAGTATTTCAAGTAGAAATATTATTGTTACTATTATATTGTGATTTTTTTGTATTTTAAAGAAAAGAGAACTCTTTCTTTTTAAACATTGTTTCTTGTTTACTTTACTGATAGTGAATGAACATGAGTGCAGACAGGCTTTAAGTCTCACAGAATCACGAATCACGTGATTGGCTGATAGAATATAAAAAATTAGACGAGACTTACCTGTAAAGATTGGCTGATAGAATTCTGATCAGACTTCAACTTACCGGTAAGTCTCGTCTAATCTTTTGTATTATCTAGAAAGTACAGAACACTAAATTATACGTTTTGGGGGTAAAAACTCAAAATTGAAAAATATGCAGATTCCAGGGTTCACCAGCAACGTGACGAATTATGCCTTTATGGCTAATCTCAATTGTTTCTATATTTACATGCGGAGTTATACATGTTCATGTTCTATCCCTTATGGATTGACGGTTTAAAAAGATGTATAAATTCTGAGACCATTACTGATAAAACTATTGCAGTTGTTTCATAGAAACAATAAAATTGAGACAACTTGTTATTACGGCTGGGACAACATCATTGCTATTGGATATAATTATGCACTAAATATTTTAATAGCGTATGGGGAAAATATGTGACCAACACTATATTCAATAATTTTATGACAAAATATGACACACCCAGGTCTATTAAAACGTCAATAATTTACATTGAATCGATTAGTAATGGATAGACTATTATTGACTTTGTGACAACGTTGCCGACATTGAGACTTGTACTTGTAACTCACCCCGGATAATGCAGTGTCGACTTTATATCACAGATAAAACTTTGGCTTTACATCACAGATAAAACGATGCGACTTTGTATCATGCACAAATACGGTAAAATACTCTAAAATAAATTCTACTTGATAATAGTGTTGAATTGCTATAAATTTGTGTGAGATATGGTTAGAAATGATTCCTTTTGGCGAAAAATAAAGAATCGCGGTGAAATATTATAGCCTGGGAATAGAGGTGGGGAGAGAGCTGGTATTGTCATATTGCAGCTATATAGGGACGGATAGTAACTGTCAGCGGGCATCGTCCGATCGGAGACAGTTCATAAAGGAACTAAGTAATTATGTTACAAATAGTGAAGAGTGGAACACTGAAATCTGAATCTTATCTTACTAATTCTGGTTCGGCGGCCATTTTAAAATGGACAGAAATTTCGCATAGTAGTTGGATTTTATCAAATCATATAATTATACGGTAAAGTTTCACCTTTATTTCAATGGGAATTGGTTTATTATATGTTCACCTATGTGCATTACAGTTTGAGGTCAGTGTAATTGGAAATTAAGGGAGTTATAGGCCAGTAACGTTTTTGTAGTCAAATGACTACAAAACTTGCTCAAAGGAAGGCCTTAGAATGATCCACTACTGTTGCTGGAGCAAAACGGAAGACATCAGTCGTGGAACCATTTCTAACTGTTATAATGTGCAGTATGCTATGCCTTTACTGCAGCCAAGTAAACGTCTAGAGGCCTACAATTTTTGGCTTTAAAGCTACTATGGTTTTTACATGGTCCTATCATGTAGGCTATGGGTAGGCCTATGGTGTGTGAATCTTAGGCAACTTTTTGCTTCATTAGTAATAGTAATAGTATACCCCCCACCCCATCCCACATCCCGCCATTTCCAAACATTTGTAGGCTACTTACTACTTAGTGGCAGTCGAGTCTATCAAAACGATTATGTTGATATTAGTCAAACTTTGTTATTTAAAAAGTATTAAAAGATTAGATGAGCCGGAAGGCTTCAGGCAACTAATCTGGCTGGCTTCAAAACAAACTTACATATAACTAGGCTGACCACCTTTCCTTGATCATATTGCGGGACATTATCTTTTTAAAAAAAACTGAGGCAGAATGCATAACAATGTTGATATATAGTTACTTCATTTTTCGACAGCAACAATAGAAAATCAAACTATGAAATATTCACACAAGCTTGGTTTGTATTCGTATGTCATATGATATTTAGGATAATAATAGGCTACATAGCAACAATAGGCCCTATAAATTAAAGTCATATAATATTCATATATCAGCGTGTTTTGTATTCGTATGCCAGCATCATCTTTCATTTAAAAAAAACGAACACAATTTCTTTTGTAGGTGTAAAATTACCTTTCTTTCATTTCAAACAAAATATATAATAAATTATTAATTTGTGCGACAGAACCATTTGAAAGGGTGTGTGTAAATGTATATCATGACATTGAATAAATTTTTTTAGTTACAATCAAATGACTGCCGAATTATCATCCATTCACATTGATCGTTTATTGCTAAATTTAAATCATGCTGAAAGTGATGAAACGTTTTGAGATTTTATCGCTAATGTTTAATCATGCTGAATGTTGTGAAATTTATTGAGATTTTATAATAACTGAGTATAAAGGATGTTATGCTGGTTTAAGATACAATATTTAAGAGCTGGGGGGTGGATGGCCGAATGGTTAGCACCTGCGAGTATCATAAGGTCTGTCATTGAGTCAACTGGCATGGTTCCGGTTGTACGTGACAAGGAGTAGGGTCGCCTTCCAACCTCGTCGGTTTCTCCTCCAGTTTCCTCCCACTGCTAAAGACCCCTGCGCGCAAGCGAATGATTGAAATCAATTAAACCATGTGTTAGTCCCAAAATGATCTAGTTTGTGTCGAGTGGACGTTAAACCCCATCTCTCTCATTCATTTAAGAGCTAAATTTACCGATTGCAGATCTTTCTTTTGACCTCAAATGTTTTATAAATAATTTATTTGCATATCAGGCCCATAATCAACTCTCTAGAACTTCAGATGGTTTTGATTTTCAACAGAGTTATGATTTAATTTAAAAATGACAACCGAGAATACACCGTTCTGTAAACGACGATAACTACTCTCAGAATGAAGTAATTTGACTGACATTTTCAATATATTCACTTTTCATTATCTATTTTTTAAAGATACATTATGTAAGATTTAGATTTAAGAGCTGACCATTCTTGCTATAATAACTCAAAAATAGATAATGTAAAACAAAAATATTGAAAATTTCATTCAGATTACTTTATTCTGAGTCAAGTTATCCCTGTTTGTTGTTTTGACAAGATGTGTGCATTCAATCTGTTTCACAGAGATCTTTTAATATCTCTGTTACAGATGACTGTTTCGATACGTGACGTCACATCACGCGGCGTCAATCATTGGCTCAATAGCGCGTGCATTGTTTACATAAGACGTTACTGATTCGGGCTAAATGGTGAATTTTACTTATTTTAATAACCATTTACACTAAATAGGAAATGATTTTTACCTACAAACAATTCAAACGTCTTTATTTATTTTTCTAATAAATGAAAAAAATGTTTTAGAATTTAATTTGACGGAAGAAAAAAGTTATTATTTGGGGCTCATTAAGTCGCATCGATGTCATCCTTATCAGTGATTGTAGCGGCCTAGCGAAAATTCACTGCTGATCAGTGTGGTGTGCATTGTGGTAACCAGGGCACTGGTATATTCGAGACTTAGCATCGCTTTCCTTTTTAAATTAGACTTTTAAATGGCGAACCATTCTAATCTAGTTAAAATCTCGACTATCTGATGCCATCGAGAGTTGATTATGGTCTTGTTTTGTTAATCAATGTCTAATTAATAGTTTATATAACATTTCAGCCCCAGAAAGACCTGCGATAGGCAGATTTAGCTCTTGCATAATGTTTGTTTAAACTATTATTGCAAGAACTGTCAGCTCTTTATCTAAATCTTACGTAATGCATCTTTAACTTTCCCTGGTTGATCACCATGTCATGCTATATTAATAATACAAGATACCTTTACACAATCATCTGTTATACGTCAATAGATATATTTGAATTTTAATAATTCAGAGACGGCAAAGCGAAAGCGATTGTAATTGATACTTCATCAAACCAAGCATACATATCAAAATAAAAGAACAAGCGATTCGATACATCCGTCGTCTTCCAAGTTTTTTTTTATATATATATAAAATAGAAATGCATAGCCTTCGGTCACAGCAAATGCCCCAATAGTCAGCTGATGTTCTGGGTTTATGTGATTCACCATGTAACAAATACTAGTATTTATTTAATTTTATTGTTCTTTGGGTAAGGTCTGTCATTGAGTCAAATGGCGTGGTTTCGATTCACCGCTTGTACGTGACAAGGAATAGGGTCGCCATCTAACCTCGTCCACTGGTTTCCCCCCAAAGCTAAAGAACAATATGTGCAAGCGAATTATAGTCTGTGTCGAATGGGCGTAAAATCCCATTTATCTTTTTTTTCTCTCTTTTCTCTCTCCCTCGATTGTTTTGACAATAATTGGCTTTGGAAGTTGATGACATAGAAAAGGTCTAGCACAGGACAAAGCACGTTTTCCAAGTTGTAAGTTAACATTTGGAGATTTTAGAAGATGCATTGTTTGAGAACTGAGATTTCTACTGGTAGTGCAGGTCTTTACAATATTTTTTAAAATATAATATGTGAATTAATTATATTCATTTAATTTTATTTTCTTTGAGTATGGTGACGGTCGTGGTGTTGTCGATTGCACTGCTGATAGTGGTTGTAGTTGTATTGCAAGAGAGGGGGTGGGGTGTAAATGTTATATATTATTTATATTCGTAGATTTTTGTCTTGGTGGTGGCAATATTTTCCATTTCTTAGGTTTAATACATTAAAATATATATTTCTTTGAGTTAAACGTAATTGAAATGGTGTTTAACGTCCGACTGGGCTAATGAAGACAGGCGTACGTCATATTGTGTCCTATGAGGGGATTTGTGCCGGGGACCGGTGCTAAATGCTACTCTTATATCGAATTCCAACTGCGAAGGATTCTTCTACGCCTCATCCGATGAGTATACGTTGCCCAAGGCCCTCTGTCCTGCACCAGTGACAAGGGAGAACCACACCGGTGGATTTCGGTGGATTTTCAGTATGGTGTACAGGGAAAGGTCATCATCTACAAGTTGGTACCAAAAGACCTTCTAAAGGAATTTGTGGCGGGTCTTTCAGTATTTTGACTAGACTAATACTCAAATAGACTATCGCGAGACTAGATTCGCGCATATTACTGTATAGAAATCTTCCATGTGAGCAATTGCGGGACATTTTGGCTTATATATATTTGTGACTGTCTTTTGTCTCTCTGTCTGTCTGTCTGTCTGTCTGTTCGGGGTTGGCGGCTACACTAGGTCTGCCCCGAGTCTGAAATTTGGGATATAAGGGTAGCTCGGACCGGGGAGTAACATAGGCCAGGTGGCGTTGGTCTACCTCTTCCGGTTTCGGAGTTATGACCTCCGAGCGAAGCCGGTCTGTTCGGGGTTGGCGGCTACAGTAGGTCTGCCCCGAGTCTGAAATTTGGGGTATTGGGGTAGCTCGGACCGGGGAGTGACATAGGCCAGGTGGCGTTAGTCTACCACTTCCGGTTTCGGAGTTATGACCCCCGAGCGAAGTCTGTCTGTTTGGGGTTGGCGGCTACATCTGCCCCGAGTCTGAAATTTGGGGTATAGGGGTAGCTCGGACCGGGGAGTAACATAGGCCAGGTGGCGTTAGTCTACCACTTCCGGTTTCGGAGTCATGACCCCCGAGCGAAGCCGGTCTGTTCGGGGTTGGCGGCTACACTAGGTCTGCCCCGAGTCTGAAATTTGGGATATAGGGGTAGCTCGGACCGGGGAGTAACATAGGCCAGGTGGCGTTAGTCTACCACTTCCGGTTTTGGAGTTATGACCCCCGAGCGAAGTCTGTCTGTTTGGGGTTGGCGGTTACACTAGGTCTGCCCCGAGTCTGAAATTTGGAGTATAGGGGTAGCTCGGACCGGGGAGTAACATAGGCTAGGTGGCGTTAGTTTACCACTTCCGATTTCGGAGTTATGACCCCCGAGCGAAGCCGGTCTGTTCGGGGTTGACGGCTACACTAGGTCTGCCTCGAGTCTCAAATTTGGGGTATTGGGGAAGCTTGGACCGGGGAGTAACATAGGCCAGGTGGCGTTAGTCTACCACTTCCGGTTTCGGAGTTATGACCCCCGAGCGAAGCCGGGTATCCTGTTAGTAAAATAATAAGAGAAAAAAAATTCGGACTCGAACCTGCGCTGCTATCAATCTTTGGATTCAGTTGCATAACAGTCGTTATGGTTGAGATAAATTAAAGGAAAACACCACTGATGAAGAACAAATGATTACGCGCCATTAAAAGGAGAACACACCAGATTTAAAGTGCGTTCACAATACCCTCAACGTAAATAATATAGTACTGTTATTAAGTCTAAGCATACATTCCCCAAAAGACGATCCCGGAACCCAATAAAAATAAAATAGAGAAAGAAAATAAACGATGAATTTAGTTGTTTTTATAAGAAAAAAACAATCGAGAATCAAATATGTCATGTCACTTTTAGTTATCCCATGTGAACAAACGCAATTGAAGTTAGTCTCGTACAACCATTCCAAATTCTCGGTATATTCTTGGCCAACGAATGTCCGCGAAACTAATGTTCGGGATAACGGGGATTACATTGAAGTCCGTTGTTTTGTTGCAGATAAAATAATTCTATTTGAGCGCATAAACAAAAAAACAATCTCATCGATAGCAGATGTCGATAATACTAATATCTGGTATATTTTATTGAAGAGTTGAATAGTTCATAAACAAAAGCCACAGACATCTTGGCCAATGGAAATAATATCGATCTTGATGGTACCTTTGTTCAGGTTCGAATATGTGATATACATGTAGCTATAAATATATCTACTGTATAGACTTGATTAATGAATATTAAACATAACAAAGTTTCATCCATTATTTGTTGCTCGGTATTAATTAAATATGACACAGAAGACATATACTTATCGTTGTTGTGGAGTATTTCACAAGATGAAATTAATTCGTTGACAACAAACATTTGTTTGTCGGCTTGGTTCTGTATAGTTTCGGCGTTAGTTAAAGTGTAGACGTGTTGCTACATGTTAACTGGTTTCGTTTATTTTAATTTCGAGCAGAGGTTTGTAATCATCAATGATTGTGAAAGGTAGGCCTTCTAGAATCACCAAAATGTGTGTCATCATTATAATTAATTGCTGTTGTTTTTGACGTATTACATGGATGTACAAATAAATTATATATCTTTATTTTCAGAAGGTGGAGAACTGGTACAAACTCTTTAGGCATCACTAAATCAAGAACTATAGTTTACGGTGCAATGACACAACTTCGAAGAAAATATGTGTGGTTGGGAGTAGTAATACCAGCAATACTTTTCATAATAATGCTCAGATCACATCTATCCATGACCTCAAAATTTAGTGAATTATTCGGGAAGCAATCCGATTGTATAAACGACGCTACTTTACAGAAAATTATTAACATGTTTGCAAATGCCTCAAAACAATCCATAAGTTCTGTTGACCGTAATGTTTTAAAAGAATTAAGCAAAGAAGTTAACGATAAGGAAGTTCAACAATCAATGTCTGACGTGGATTTGTCACGTGATATAGTAGTTCAAAGGTTGAACGGTAAATGGGTTACCGAAAGCGATGTGTGTACCACCAATGAAAAATTAAGAGTTGCAAAGTTAAAAATGAAAGGAAAGGAAACTCCAATTTATATTTATAATGTAGGAGAGGACATCTATATCTCAGATAATGTAGCGAGATCTGGGCAGTGGGAGGGGGATTTAGTTGGCTGGGTTTTGAATCAACTTGAAAAAGACCAAGAAGCTGTTTTTGTGGATATTGGTGCCAATATCGGCGTGTTTTCCTTGACCGCCGCCATGTTTGGTCGCCATGTTGTTTCTGTGGATCCAGTAAGAAAGAATGTTCAAAGACTGTGTCGATCAATTATGGACGGTGAAGGGTTCAAGGGACGAGTAAACGTGGTTCACAACGCTTTATCCGATTCACGCGGTACGGTACAGTTGGGAACGTACAAAGGAAACGTGGGTGGCACTTTCGTAAAGGCGTTGACAGACCAAAAGCAACCAAAAGATGAAACTTTAGAGACGGCATATACCGTGCTTTTAGATGATTTATTGGAAATATTTAAATTTAAAAAAGCCGTTATGAAAATAGACGTGGAGTCGTTTGAAAATAAAGTTTTAGCTGGTGGAAAATTTTTTTTTGAAAAGGTGAATGTTTTAGCCATGACCATGGAGTGGACGACACATAAAACACGCACCACAGGAAAAGACATCATAGATTTTTTAGTTCCCCAAGGCTTTAAACCCCAAACTTCAGGTGGGCAGATTTTGGAAACTAACAATTATGCCAAGTGGCCGGTTAACGTGTTTTGGGTGAAATCATAGTCAATAAAATTTGGAAATATTGAGAACTACTTTTAATTTGTGGTTTTATTTTTTATCGGTATGTATAACAATCATTTGTTAATTCATCTTTACTTTTTAAACGCCCGGGTAAGCCTTACAGGTGTTTGTAGATTGCCTTGGAACTATGCATATTAGTTATGGACATTATCAAATCCGTACCTATTTTTATACAGTTTCATTAATTTATTTGCAATTTTAGACTATTGAATATATTAACAGATTGAAATTGGGAGGTTGATGAATTTGTACAATCAGGAATGTTTTTGATGAATCGGGTTAAAAGTTTTACCCGCATACATATTAAAGATAATATGTAAGATCTCTGTTGGGACTGATTCATTAACTTGATGTAATTTTTTGAGTTTTGAACTAAATTACTGCGGTTTGTAAAATTAAAGGTAAGGGTTTAAAAGCTGTTCATTGAACATTTTGAAGATGTAAGAAATTTTTATTTTAATTTCTTTAGGTGGCTGTGTCTGCATATTAAATATGTGCACCACCTATCTGGAGACTCTTTCCCGCATTTCCCCATTAATAATAAAGCATATACTAAAGGCTTTGAGAATGCTGGAGACTCTTTCACTCGTTTTCCCACTAGCACAATAAAGCAGTTATTAAATTAAAGGCTTTGAGAATGCTTTATAATTTTTAGAGGCTTTTATAGATTGCACCGTGTACTGCTGACCTGAATCGGAATCTGAAACCATGAAAACCAAATGAATATATTTTTAAAAAGTGCATAATGCTTTAGATTTATATATTAAGTTGGGTGAAATTCAATTTCTAATGAAACTGAAAATTTAAACAATCTGAAAACTAGCCGTGCTTATAAAAATTCATTTTTATAGGCACACATAGACATGTTGTCGTATATTTTCGTCGCCTCGTCCATTTATCGGTCCGTTGGTCTGTCGTCCACAATCTACAGATCATATTTATCATCTTACCTTTTTAAATTTCGACGATTTCTAAAAATAAACTCCTTATCATTGCCCTTGATCACTTTTCTAGAATCTTATTTGAACTTTATATGCACTGTTCAAATTAGTGAAATGGAGAACCGTATTAATTATTTATTGACCTTCTTCACTTCTTAAAATCTTGTGAACACCCTAGCAATAAAATTGATGATGGGATCTGATTTCAATTAATATGCATTGTCAAAATTGTCCGATCGGCTTCAATTTATTTCAATTGTTTAAATTGGCGAAACGCATAACCTTATTAAATTATTATTTATTACTTAAAGAGTTATGCCACTTTTTCTCCTTGTGATAACTAGCGACAAAAGTTATGATCCTATGACAATCTTTATGGACTGCTCAGACATCTTAGCAGCTGGGTACTCTCCCATTTCGACTACATTCCATCTCGACTACAGCTTATAACAACAGGGGGGTCACGTGGCTTAGAGGGTAAGACGCTAGCTCGCTAGCCTGGAGGTCGGGTGTTCGATCCCTGCATTGGCCGAGAAAGTTCATCCAGATTTTCCGGCGTGGTTCTCCCTTAAGGAAAGCTGTCTAGTCGTTCGGATGGGACGAAAAACCGAGGTCCCGTGTACACATTGGCGTGCACGTAAAAGATCCCTTGGCAGTTGGAATTCGATATAAGAGTAGGTCGTAGTGCCGCTGTCCGGGCAAAATTTCCCTCATAGCACACTGTATGGCGTATGCCCGTCTTCATTAGCCCAGGTTAGGAGCAGAACAGTAGGACGTTAAACTCCATTTCATTTCATTTCATTTATAACAACAGATTATAATTTATATGGTTTGGAGGTTTTATTATCCCTACTTATAAACCCTCTCCATAACTAAAATAGATTATTCTATAAAAACTTCCCACTTCGACTATAGCTTATAACAACAATATACGGTCTAGATTCTTCCATAAAAAATATCGAACCCCAAAGAAAGTAATTTATATAGAAACCTTATAAAATAAGTAAAAAGTAATTTATACAGATAGAAAACAAAATATATAAAGAAAAAGTAATTTACATATAGATAAAAACCCAAAATAAAAAAGTAATTTATATAGATAGAAAACAAAATAAATAAAAAGTAATTTATACACATAGAAAACAAAAAAATAAATAAAAAGGAATTTACATATAGATAAAAACACCAAAAAATACTAAAGTAATTCATATAGATAGAAGACAAAATAAAAACAAAAAAAAGCAATCTATATATAGAAACACAAACAAACCCCACAGATTTAAAGGTAAAAGTAATTTACATAGAAATCATATAGAATATCAATAGTTACAAATATAATATTAACATAGCACTAGTAGTCCAAATATTATATTAACATGGCACTAGTAGTCGACAATATTAACATAGTACTAGTAGTCCAAATATAATATTAACATAGCACTAGCAGTCCAAATAGGATATCAACATAGTACTAGTAGTCCAAATATAATATTAACATAGTACTAGTAGTCCAAATATAATATTAACATGGCACTAGTAGTCCAAATATAATATTGTCCTTTAGCATCCAATACCTGCTTTGTTTTGGTGGTGTCGCTCCTAAGTTCAATTGAGCCTATTTAGATCGTTCAACATTTCGAATTATGTCAATAAATCTATAGAGGTTATAATAACTGTGTGGTATTGTTTTATTCAGTCTCGAATGGAAACCTTCTAGATTAGTCCTGAGCCAAACAGATTCAAAATGGTTTCATAAACAGACAGGAAATTTACTCCGAGTTGATCTTTTGACGATAAATTTGAAGAAAAAAAAATATAATATATATTGAATAAGCGATTTTAACAATAATCAATAGATTAATTACATCTCTTAATCAGGGGAACAGTTTAATGCTGATTAGTTGGGGGTCGGGATTTTTGTGGTAATAAAATTTCTATTCGAAATGGGGGTGAACCAGCTACTGTGGGCGTGTTTTGTTGCTAAAGATCTGAAAGCCTGAGGTTCCGAACCTTTGACAAAAGCACATTATTACTAAATTAAACTATGAGATGAATACATAAATACTCTTTCAATGTCACTGATTCAATGTCACGTTCATCAGTGGAGAATAGTTCAGTATAAGTGCTGAAATGTATCATTTTAAGTTTAAGTTTATTACATTTAATATAGCGCTCATTACTGCAATACATGCATTCAATGGCACTTTACAATTGAAATAAATAATTTATTATGTACATGAATATAAATATAGTATATTACTAAATAATTAATTAGTGAAGGTCCTTTGGAAAAGGTACGTTTTTAGTGATTTCTTAAAAATATCCGCAAATGTTTTCCTTTTTGTAGCTGGGACGTATAGTGATTGACTGTTTGAAAAAATCGTGTCGAATATCGGCTGGGATTGGGTTTAAGTAAATCTATCAAGTACTTGGGGGCAAGGTTATTTAAACACTTATATACTAGAAGCAATAGTTTATATTCTGCACGGGCATGTATAGGCAAAATTTGAAGTTCTTTCATGGCATCTGTTGAACTTGAATATTTTGACTGTCCGGGGATCATTTTTGCTGTGAGGTTTTGTATTCTTTGACGCGGTAACAAAGTATATTTTATCAGATGGACGTAGAGGATATTGCAGTAGTCCAGATGTGAAAAAATCAGAGCATTAGCAAGTTTTAAACGAGAATTTCTATCAAGGTTGCGGTTTATTTTCTTGATATTGAATAGTGTTATTTTAGCGGTTCGGGATTTTATTAGGGTTTCACACTGCGTAGCTTGTGTGAAACACTATTGTTTTTGTTAAAATTATTATTAGGGTTTCACACTGCGTAGCTTGTGTGAAACACTATTGTTTTTGTTAAAATTATTATTAGGGTTTCACACTGCGTAGCTTGTGTGAAACACTATTGTTTTTGTTAAAATTATTATTCTTATTATTATTATTCTTCTTTTGTTTTGAGTAGATCTCAGCAACTGATTGTCGGATCGTTACGATTTCTTCGGTTTTATCGGAAAAGTGGGTGTGACTTAGAGGATAAAGCTATTTTGAACGTTCTGCGACAATGCGAAATGTCCGAAATCACCGAAGCTATCGTTTTTAGAAATATTGCAGTAATTTTAACAATAATCATTGGATTTTAACTTTCGATGCATTTTGGCATAGCCGGAGACGGGGCACATAGCTACGCTACTTTTGATTTTTGATTTTCGGCAAATCTTCGCAGATATTAGGCGCTAAATTTAGAAAATTTAAATTTTTACAAAAAACTTTTTTATTTATGAATATTTTTTAATCGTGTTTTACACAAATATAACGAGTCCTCTGACTTGGGCAAAAATGTGAAAATTTTTTGTCTCGGTAATTTTCCTTGGCCCCCATTGGCTAATTCAGTTTTTCAGTCCTAGATTAATTATTTATTGTTCGATTTGTATAAAACAAAGTTCATATGCCCCGTTGTCTCAATTGTCATTTTTTTTGTTACCAATAGTGTTATCTGTCGGCACCGGAAGTGGCGTAAATTGACAAAAAACTACAATTTTGACAGTTAGGTACCATTTTTCGAAAGCAAATATTATTTTGTTCAAATCTGGTATAACTGAAATTGTGCGCCCTTTAAAGGCGCACAAAATGTTGGGACCATTTTTTTTAATTTCGATTCCGTTTTCGGGCTATTTCGATTAAAAGGTGAAAAAAGGTGTAAAATTAAGCTATTTACAACCCATTCAGCGTTTTCATATTTTAAAATATTACTTCGTAACTTTCATAAACTCGTAGCAATAATCTATACGGAGAGAATGTATGTGAAAATTAATTTGTAATATGCGCAGTTGCCGAGAAATGGGCAATTTTGCATGAGTCACTTTTTACGCTAGTTTGCCTGTAAAAGAGTCAATTATTATTCGATTTTCATAAAAGTGACACCATTTGATGTGTAATGTCAATTTTAACTAGGTCAAACCAATTTAACATTTTCAATATCACCGGAAATGACGTAATTTGGGCAAAAATTGTATTTATAGCCTTCGAAACCAGTAATTTATTCAAATGAGTCATATTTGTTATTTGTTTAAAATTTTGATATTTGATTCAAATCAACTAATACAATGAACCCTTACGATCATATAGATATCACAAAATGGTTTCTAACTTGTTCAGTTGCGGAGAAATAGGCAATTTTCAACAGGTCACTTTTTAAGGTTTTTTTGTCAAAAAAAGTGTCAATTATTATTCGATTTTCATGAAATTTTCACTGTGTGATACATAATGCCATTTACGATATCATACAAGTAATTTAAGATTTTCATTATCACCGGAAGTAACGTCATTTTGGCAAAAACTGTATTTTTAGCCTTCAAAACAGATATTTTATTCAAATGAATCAGATTTGTAATGTTTTTAAAATTATGATATTTGATTCCAATCAACAAATAGAATGAACTCATTCGATCATACAGATACCTCAAAATGGTTTCTAACTTGTACGGTTGCAGAGAAATAGGCGATTTTCTACAAGTCATTTTTCAAGGTTTTTTGTCTATAAAGGTGGCAATTATTATAGGATTTACATAAAATTTTCAACATGTGATGATGCTATTTCTGATTTCATAAACCAATTTAACATTTTCATTATCACCGGAAGTAATGTAATTTTGACAGGATCACTGACATGTAGCAAATGAATTGATTGCTGGATTTGGTTGTTTCTGCGTCCATTTTATTTCATGTGTGCAATGCTTATGTGGAAACCTGTTTAACGGTTTCATTGGTACCGGAAGTGACATAAGTTCAAGGGTAACGTGGCACCGGTGAAACCCGTCATTACTGCTTCGCAGTTCTAGTTCTTATTATTATTATTCTTCTTTTGTTTTGAGTAGATCTCAGCAACTGATTGTCGGATCGTTACGATTTCTTCGGTTTTATCGGAAAAGTGGGTGTGACTTAGAGGATAAAGCTATTTTGAACGTTCTGCGACAATGCGAAATGTCCGAAATCACCGAAGCTATCGTTTTTAGAAATATTGCAGTAATTTTAACAATAATCATTGGATTTTAACTTTCGATGCATTTTGGCATAGCCGGAGACGGGGCACATAGCTACGCTACTTTTGATTTTTGATTTTCGGCAAATCTTCGCAGATATTAGGCGCTAAATTTAGAAAATTTAAATTTTTACAAAAAACTTTTTTATTTATGAATATTTTTTAATCGTGTTTTACACAAATATAACGAGTCCTCTGACTTGGGCAAAAATGTGAAAAATTTTTGTCTCGGTAATTTTCCTTGGCCCCCATTGGCTAATTCAGTTTTTCAGTCCTAGATTAATTATTTATTGTTCGATTTGTATAAAACAAAGTTCATATGCCCCGTTGTCTCAATTGTCATTTTTTTTGTTACCAATAGTGTTATCTGTCGGCACCGGAAGTGGCGTAAATTGACAAAAAACTACAATTTTGACAGTTAGGTACCATTTTTCGAAAGCAAATATTATTTTTTTCAAATCTGGTATAACTGAAATTGTGCGCCCTTTAAAGGCGCACAAAATGTTGGGACCATTTTTTTTAATTTCGATTCCGTTTTCGGGCTATTTCGATTAAAAGGTGAAAAAAGGTGTAAAATTAAGCTATTTACAACCCATCCAGCGTTTTCATATTTTAAAATATTACTTCGTAACTTTCATAAACTCGTAGCAATAATCTATACGGAGAGAATGTATGTGAAAATTAATTTGTAATATGCGCAGTTGCCGAGAAATGGGCAATTTTGCATGAGTCACTTTTTACGCTAGTTTGCCTGTAAAAGAGTCAATTATTATTCGATTTTCATAAAAGTGACACCATTTGATGTGTAATGTCAATTTTAACTAGGTCAAACCAATTTAACATTTTCAATATCACCGGAAATGACGTAATTTGGGCAAAAATTGTATTTATAGCCTTCGAAACCAGTAATTTATTCAAATGAGTCATATTTGTTATTTGTTTAAAATTTTGATATTTGATTCAAATCAACTAATACAATGAACCCTTACGATCATATAGATATCACAAAATGGTTTCTAACTTGTTCAGTTGCGGAGAAATAGGCAATTTTCAACAGGTCACTTTTTAAGGTTTTTTTGTCAATAAAAGTGTCAATTATTATTCGATTTTCATGAAATTTTCACTGTGTGATACATAATGCCATTTACGATATCATACAAGTAATTTAAGATTTTCATTATCACCGGAAGTAACGTCATTTTGGCAAAAACTGTATTTTTAGCCTTCAAAACAGATATTTTATTCAAATGAATCAGATTTGTAATGTTTTTAAAATTATGATATTTGATTCCAATCAACAAATAGAATGAACTCATTCGATCATACAGATACCTCAAAATGGTTTCTAACTTGTACGGTTGCAGAGAAATAGGCGATTTTCTACAAGTCATTTTTCAAGGTTTTTGGTCTATAAAGGTGGCAATTATTATAGGATTTACATAAAATTTTCAACATGTGATGATGCTATTTCTGATTTCATAAACCAATTTAACATTTTCATTATCACCGGAAGTAATGTAATTTTGACAGCATCACTGACATGTAGCAAATGAATTGATTGCTGGATTTGGTTGTTTCTGCGTCCATTTTATTTCATGTGTGCAATGCTTATGTGGAAACCTGTTTAACGGTTTCATTGGTACCGGAAGTGACATAAGTTCAAGGGTAACGTGGCACCGGTGAAACCCGTCATTACTGCTTCGCAGTTCTAGTTCTTATTATTATTATTCTTCTTTTGTTTTGAGTAGATCTCAGCAACTGATTGTCGGATCGTTACGATTTCTTCGGTTTTAGCGGAAAAGTGGGTGTGACTTAGAGGATAAAGCTATTTTGAACGTTCTGCGACAATGCGAAATGTCCGAAATCACCGAAGCTATCGTTTTTAGAAATATTGCAGTAATTTTAACAATAATCATTGGATTTTAACTTTCGATGCATTTTGGCATAGCCGGAGACGGGGCACATAGCTACGCTACTTTTGATTTTTGATTTTCGGCAAATCTTCGCAGATATTAGGCGCTAAATTTAGAAAATTTAAATTTTTACAAAAAACTTTTTTATTTATGAATATTTTTTAGTCGTGTTTTACACAAATATAACGAGTCCTCTGACTTGGGCAAAAATGTGAAAATTTTTTGTCTCGGTAATTTTCCTTGGCCCCCATTGGCTAATTCAGTTTTTCAGTCCTAGATTAATTATTTATTGTTCGATTTGTATAAAACAAAGTTCATATGCTCCGTTGTCTCAATTGTCATTTTTTTGGTTACCAATAGTGTTATCTGTCGGCACCGGAAGTGGCGTAAATTGACAAAAAACTACAATTTTGACAGTTAGGTACCATTTTTCGAAAGCAAATATTATTTTTTTCAAATCTGGTATAACTGAAATTGTGCGCCCTTTAAAGGCGCACAAAATGTTGGGACCAGTTTTTTTAATTTCGATTCCGTTTTCGGGCTATTTCGATTAAAAGGTGAAAAAAGGTGTAAAATTAAGCTATTTACAACCCATCCAGCGTTTTCATATTTTAAAATATTACTTCATAACTTTCATAAACTCGTAGCAATAATCTATACGAAGAGAATGTATTTGAAAATTAATTTGTAATATGCGCAGTTGCCGAGAAATGGGCAATTATGCATGAGTCACTTTTTACGCTAGTTTGCCTGTAAAAGAGTCAATTATTATTCGATTTTCATAAAAGTGACACCAT